ATATAAAAGAAACTATAAATATTTTAAAAACTTACTTATAAAAGTTTATTAAATAATAAAAGTTATTAATTTTAGCTTTTTTATATATAATAATTAATAAGTTTTTTATAAATTTATATTTATTTATATTAAAGAATTTAATAATATAATATTTTAATTATATAATAAAAAATATATTAATAAAAAAAATTAAAAATAATAGTAAATTTTTAATAAAAAATAATATAAAAAAAAAATAAGTAATATTTAATAATAATATAATATTTACTTATATAACTTATATATATAAGTATATTTATTATAGCTTTAGTTAAGAAATTAATAATAAAAATATATAAAATAAATATAAAAATTATATTTTATTTTTATTATTTTAATAATTTTATTTACTTTTAATATATTATATAATTATAATTAAATAACTTTTTAATATTAAATATTCTTTTAATAATTACTTTTTTTTTAAAATAATAATATAATTTATATAAAAAGCTTTTTAAGTTTATTAATACTTAAGTAATAAATTAAAATTATATATTTATAATAAGTAAATTAATAAAAAAGAAAGTAATAAATATATTATTACTTATATATATAATTAATTTTAATAACTTTTAAGTATTTTAAGAAAAAATATATAAAATATTATTATATATAAAATTAATTATTAATTTTTAATAAATATAAATTTTTTTAAAAATAATATAATTTAAAATATATAATATTATTAAAACTTATAATTTTTAATATATAATTATTTATTAAGTTTATATTTATTTATTTATTTAATTTTTATAAACTTAAAATAATAAAATAATATTTAAAGTTTTAAAAGCTAGTAAATATTAATATTATTTTAAAAAATATTTAAAATTATTTATATTAAAATAATAATAAGTTTTTAATATAATAAAAGATTTATAATTAAATTATATAAAATAAATAAAATATATATATAAAGTAAAATTTAATTTATATTTTAATTTATAAATTATAATAAAAGATTTTATTATTAAATATAATCTAATAATAATTATTATATAATTATTATTTTATTTACTTATTTAAACTTTTTAAAATATTTTTAAGCTTATTTTAATTTATTATTATTAAATTATACTTATAAACTTAATAAATATTATATATTTTTTTAATATAATTAATATTAATATTTATTAAGATTTATATTTAATATAATTATATAAATTTAAAAAACTTATAATAGCTAGTATAATAAAAAACTATACCTAGCCCTTAGTTTAATAACTAAGTAAGTAAAAATATTTAAAAAAAAATATTATATTTAATTTTATTAGGTTTAATAATATTAATAATACTAGATTATTAAAATTACTTATAAGATTTAAAATAAGGTTTTTATATTAAAAATAAAGTTTTTTACTAATAAGTTAATATAATACTAAAATAATAAAAAAGTTACTTATATAAAAGCTAGTAAATATAAATAGCTTTAATAGTTCCTTAGAAAATAAAAGAAATTAACTATTAAATACTATTATAATATATAAAACTTTAATATTAATACTATATTATTTAATATAATAAGGTAATCTTATAGTAATAAAATAATCTTATAGTTAATTATAATTATATATAAATAATAAATAGTAAAGGAAAATAATAAAGAAATAGTAATAATTACTAAATTAAACTAGTTATAAAAGTAAACTATTAACTAGGCTAAAATTAATAAATTTAAAGAAGGAAAATAGTAATATAATAAGTAAAAGGGTAAGAAAAGTAATACTAAAAGGCCTTATATACTTTAGAGAATTAAAAAAATATTAAATAAAACTTTAATAAGTTAGTAAAAAAAATAGTTATAATAAGTAATATAATTTATATATTATAAAGCACTTAGTATATATTAAATATATAATAAAAGGAAATAATAATAATAATAAAAAAATACTAAAAAAAAGATTTAATAATAAGTTATAATAATAAGTAGCTTATTTTTTTATACCTAGGAGGAAATATTAATATTTATTAATAATATTTTTATATTACTTTTATATTTTTTATTAAAAAAAGTAAAAAAAAAAATATTTTAAATATTAAATTATAAAAGTATTTTATAACTTTTATATTTAAATATATAATAAATATAATAAATATAATAAATATAATAAATATAATAAATATAATAAATATAATAAATATAATAAATATAATAAATATAATAAATATAATAAATATAATAAATATAATAAATATAATAAATATAATAAATATAATAAATATAATAAATATAATAAATATAATAAATATAATAAATATAATAAATATAATAAATATAATAAATATAATAAATATAATAAATATAATAAAAAAATAAAAAAATATAATTAATTTTATTTAAGTATATAATTCTTATATAATTAAAATTTAATTTCTTATTTGAGCTTAGTAAAAATTAATATTTTTAAATAGTTTTTTTAATTTAAAAGTTAAAAGTTTTTTTATATAAAAGTATACTTAAGTTAAAATAGCTTAGCTAAGTAATATTAATATATTATAAATATAATTAAATTTATTTATTAATAATTATAAATATTTTAAACTTATATAATTATATTAAAATTAAATTTTAATAAATTAATTTTATAATAATTTAAAATTTTATTATATAAAAAATAAAAATAAAAATTTTATATTATAATTTAATATTATTAATTATTATTAAAACTTTTTAAAATAATTAAAAAAAAATTAAAAAAACTTTTTTTATTAATTTACTAAAATTTAATAAAATTTAATAAATAAATTTTTAAATTTCTTTTTATATTTATTTATTTAATTAAATAATTAATTATTTATATAAAATTAAAATTTTAAAAAATATATTTATTATTAAATATTATTATTATTATTTATTTATAAGTTATATTTAATTATTTTATTAATATAAATTAATTTTCTTTTAAAATATATTTTTTAAAAATTATTTTATTTTTATTTTTTAATATATAATTTATTTTAAATATATTTTTAATTATAAAAATTATTTAAATATAATTATTATTTTAAATAATATTTATAAAATATATATAATAAAAAAAATATTTTTATTTAATTTTAATAAATATAATTATATTTTACTTTTTTAATATACTATAGTTAAACTAAAATTAATTTTTATTAATTTTTAGTTTATATTATATATAATAATCTTCAACCACAGCTGTATTCTAACACCTTTCAACTTCTATTATCAATGGCTTATACAAATAGCCTTACTCTTCCACATGGCTCACCATCCGCCTTACCAGCTATCTCCAGCAGTAAAGGAGCTGATCTTATGGTCTTAAAAGTAGCATCTGTACTTTCGACCTCTTATTCAGATAATGATTTTCGCGACGCAATTTTCCTGGCCGATGAGCGACTCTCAAGAGGCAGTGCTAAAACTAGGCGCCTTCTCCGACTAGAGCTCCTACGAGAAGCAATCGATTGCAATGGCGAAATTATCGAGGAAATGGGTAGTGTTGTAGAGGTTTGTTAGACCCCGACCATTCTACCTGCTCATTCAAATTGGTAACAAGTTGAACAGCGCTTAAAACTCATCCGGGGCCTTGTCGAAAAAGTGAATTCTCGCATCGAAGCTATCAAACGACAAATCGACTTGGCACATGCTCAGACCTCACCTGCTCTGCGAGATATGTCATCTCTCTTTGAACAACACAAGGAAATCGAGAGGAAGCAAGAAACTCTCAGCGCCGTCGAGAGCTACTTTGTACTGACAGAAGACGAAATCGATTTGCTGACGTCAACGTTGAAACCGGTTGACGATGCATTCTTCACCTGCCTCCAGAAAGCGAAAAAGATCACCCTTGGTTGCGACATACTCCTGGGATTTGAAAACCAAACTCTTGGCTTGGAGTTGATCGATCGAACATCCGGGCATGTAAATTTAGCTTTCCAAAAGCTCTACAAATGGGTTCAGCAAGAGTTTAGGACGCTGAATCTAGAAAATCCCCATGTGAATCCATCCATGCGGCAAGCGTTAAGAGTGCTTGCTGAACGACCTTCTCTATTTCAAAATTGCCTTGACTTTTTTGCGGCATCTAGAGAACGATTTTTATCTGAGGCTTTTCACTGTGCTCTCACAGGCATTACGCCCCAGGGCACAGAAGATACTTCTACCAGGCCAATTGATTTAACGGCACATGATCCGCTCCGCTATGTCGGTGATATGTTTGCTTGGGTTCATTCTGCAACAGTGGGTGAGCGAGAAGCGCTCGAAACTTTATTCACTCTAAAAAAGGATGATGCGCTGAATCCATCAATGCCGAGCTTCAACGAAAAGCCTTGGCACTTCCCTTCAGATGAGGTCTCTGTCGATACTGATTCTAAGGTTCTTGAAGCACTTAATCAATTAATGGATCGCAATTTCTCGCCGGTTGTTCGAATACTGCGCCAGCGAGTTGAGCAAGCAGTTCAGTCAAACGAAGATGTAATCCCTGCCTATAAAATTTCTACGCTTCTCAGTTTCTACCGAGCTACATTTGAGAAGCTTCTAGGCGCGGGTTCCGGTCTAGAAGAATGTACGGGAGCTTTAGAGAAAGTAGCCAAGCGACAATTTCGATCACTTGTGAGAGATAATATTTTATCTATTCAAGGTGAATTTCAACAAGTTCCTCCCAACCTAGAGCCCCCGCGATTCCTCCAAGATGCTTTCCAACAGCTCGGCATCATTCTCCAGACTTATGAATCTTCTTTGTCTGTGTCCGCAGACCCTGGAAGTGAGGTTCAAAGTATATTGTCACAAGCGTTTGAACCATATATGTCGGGCTGCGAAGAGATTGCGAAGCCGATGACGTACCCTGAGAGTGGGATATTCCTCGTCAATTGCAAACTCACGGCAGCTCTTTGCCTAGAAACCTACGAATGCACGACCTTCAGAGCAAATGAAATTCGAGACAGCATATCACAGGATGTTGTTAAGTTGGTTAATGACCAACATGCTGTATTTCGCCAGAAATCAGGTTTGGATATGCTTCTAAATAGCCTAGAAGATGCCGCACTTGCTTCAGTAGCACCGTCTTCTGTTATCCAAGCTAGCCAGGAGTTGGACGACTTCCTCCCGTCCGCATTGATGGATGCGATGGATAGGCTAAAGGGGCTCCAGGACTCAGGGATCGCTCGAGAGATTGTAGAACAAGCTGCTGAAAGATTCTGTGGCGACTTTGAGAGATTGGAGGAGGCTGTTGCAAGTCAATTCGACGATGAAACAGACAATGAAGCGGCTATGCGATTTTCAAGGACATCGGCTGAAATCCGTGTTCTCTTGTCTTGATACGCAACACTCACGGATACAAAGTATTCTCATTGTATTGTAGCCATGGTTTTTTTTATTACATGGGTTAAGATTAGCATGCGCACACTTGATTATATATTATCGCATTGCTCTTAAAAGATAATCAACAATAGCAACGTTCACGATACCACTGCGCGCATAATAGCATTACAGTCCACTGTACAGCACGTCTTTGATTGATCAAATCTCACATCTCATCTCCTTGCTTCATTATTGGACCGGAACGCTTCTACACTGTGCCGCACGGAACTGCTCGAGCTGCGCCGCCGTCGCGCCCTCTGTTCCCACGGTTCAGAGGGATGCAGTCCCGTAGACTTTGCGAACGCATTGAGGACATCTGTGAGCGAGACAACTCCAATCAGCTTACCCGACAGCAGCGCACCAGCCATCGCAGCCGCTGGAACCGAGAGGACAGGGGCAGCAGATGGGATCGCTCCCGGAGCAATATCGCTCGTTACAGAGCTCTGTGATGTTGCCGTTGGCGTGGCGGGTGTTGGCAGAGGTGATGGTGGCGGTACAGAGTCCACAACCCACATTCGATGCGATCTGGTTGCCACCAGTTTGGCGACGGTATGAGCCAACGTGGAATAAGGGCTAACATAGAATACGGGATAGACATCCTGTCCCTTTTCTACGCCTCTTTCATTGAGAATAACAGAAATGAAGTTCATGCAAGAGCCACTGAGTAGATGTGCGCTCGAGGAACTTGTCAAATGCCGCACGTCCTTGGTTGAAATATTCCCCACTACATTTTGTCCATTGTCCACAATGGCTACGCTTGAGAGGCCCTCATCATACATGAGAGAGAGAGCGTCCGTAAGCGGAGCATCGGCGCTGTGGGCTTGTTAATGATGGTTCACGAATATCAACCACCTTGTTGAAGCAAAGTCTACTCACTGAACGGATATTATCGGCTGGCCGCCAATTCCCAACTCTTGCACCGCAGCTGGGTAGAGCCGATCAATAGTGGGAAAGTTGATTCCCTCGTTCCAGAAGAATTCCACCATACGGAGCTGACTTAAAATGCCGATAACATCCCCGGCTGCATCGGTGACCAGAAGTCTGTGTATTCCGCTACCGAGCTTCTCAATAGCCTGAGATAGGCTGACGTTTGAATTCAGCTTAACGATAGTGTCTCTGAAACAAAGACTTTGAATCTCTCGAAGTGCTATATGAGCTCCTCCTTGGGCCTTGACCATGATGTCGTGGTTGTCGGGTCCAGCGAGTCCCACGACGGTTAGAAGATAAGCGTTCAGGTCGTTGTAGTCGAAACAAAATGTTGGATTAGAAGCTGAAGTTTCATCCTTAACGAGAACAACGCTGGTTGGGCTATGTAGCAGCATCTATGGTTTCGACATGAGTAAAAAAGGACCAAGCCACAGCGCAGGTAACAGTCGGTACTTACCATAGTCGCTTCCTCCACGCTGCATTCGACGTCGATCCATCTTACGTCGTCGGGAGAAACAAGCTCTCCTATGGTAATATCTCCCCATTCTCGGCCAACAAACTTGGGATTTTGGTGTCTGCTTGTGGAAGGCGGGTGATTGACGAGATCCTGAATCGCCGCTTGAGTGAGGGAAGGGTGGCGATAGCGGGGTGATGGTGGGAGATTGCGGTAGCTTTCTGTAAAGCTTTGACGATGGGTCGCTCTGCTGGTACTCGAGCTCGAGTGTGACCTTTGTGGTGAGGGCGACGACGACTTAACATCGGCTGGCTTGGTAGACCTCTCTACATCGGTATTGATAGACATGTTGGATTTCGCTGCTATCGCATCCTTATCCATTACATGTTGGTAGGCAAGATTCCATGAAAAATGTCCAGTCGAGAAAATGCGAAGGAACGAAAGCAATGCGCAGTGTTCTCAGGTGATGGGACTAGGAAGAGGCGTAATCCCCCGGATATACTTTCTGCTCCATTTAAGTCGTCGCATACTAATACTAGGAGCTTAGGTGCGGTCATAGGTACTCCGCCTAGGAAAGGTACTACAAGTGGCAATTCGTCGAGAGGCTGTTGTCTAGCTCAGTGGCTCCACTGATCTTAGCTACCCTGGTAGGCCATGAACAAAATAAGGTTCACAGATTGGTTGATTGATAGGTAGATGCCAAACTCCTCGAATGAGTAGAACGACTGGGAAAAGCTTGCGCGATTAGACATGTAGTCTTATTGATGCTATAATAATAATATAGAAAGAAGCAGCGCGCCCCTGTTCATCGAGCAAATATCTCGTCCACTTGACTTGATATCACTGCCGTTTCGAACCACCACTCACTTGTGCAAGTGGCTCACAGTAAATTCCAACTGAGTTTAGATCGATCAGTGCTTGGAATGCGAAAGCTTTGTGTCCTGGGGATCCCGCTGCATTTTCTAGACTAAGTTGAAGAGTTTTCATAAGTACAAGGGCCGTCAGTGTTGAGCTACCGTAGTAGTTCTCTCTCTTGAACAATCTGAGCAGCTTTGCCCATTACTTCCTCTGATTAGGTACCTACTACCCAGGCACTATCGCGGTCTAGGTAGTTTTTTTAGTACACGCCCAGAAGTTATACACACCCTTCCCCTCCCCCACCTTCCTCACCTGCACCCACCACAGAACTTCGATTTCTGTATTATCTGCTTTTCTCTTTTTTTTTTGTCCTGCCGCTAGCTCCGCGATAAGGATCTTCTTTTTTGTTCTGATTGTCAAAAATCTTCACGACATAACTGCGCGGCGTTCTCGTCCGTTGGCCGTCGCAACCATGTCTCTTCTCTCCCCAGACGTGCATGCCGAGCTCACGCAACTTTTGCAGGCGCTTCAGGCTTCCGATAACAGCATCCGATCTCAGGCTGAAGAGCACCTCCAAAACAGCTGGACGAATTCGCGCCCAGAGGTCCTCTTAATAGGCCTCGTGGAACAGATACAGGGCGGTACAGACAATGCGGTAAGTCTTAACCCTCAGGTCTTAACGGCCTCCCGACTGCTGGGCTGCGAACTTTTTTTTTTTGACTTCTCTGCCTAGCTTCGTTCGTTTGCGGCCGTCATATTTAGGCGCATAGCCTCGAAAACTCGAAAAGCCGAATCTGGAAACAACGTAGATCTGTTCTATTCGCTAGCGAAAGACCAAGCCGTCGTCATTCGCCAGAAACTCCTTGAAACCTTGGGCTCCGAAGCTGATCGAGCGGTTCGCAACAAAATAAGTGACGCTGTCGCTGAAGTCGCGCGGCAGTATACAGACAACAGTCAGTATTCCCGGTCACCACACCTCATAATGTGCCCAACTTCCTTCGTCTTCGATACTAATACCTGAGCTGGATAGATGACTCTTGGCCCGAACTGCTAGGAGCACTCTTCCAACTAAGCCAGGCTCTGGAAGCCGAAAGGCGAGAGAACGCATACAGAATCTTCGCTACCACGCCAGGTATCATTGAAAAGCAGCACGAAGAAGCGGTTCTGCAAGCCTTCCAAAGAGGCTTCAAAGATGATGCTGTCCAGGTACATTGTTTGGTTCACGATCTGCGGTGCAGCCTACTGACTGGAGCTTTGCGCAGGTTCGATTGGCGGCTATGGATGCCTTTGCGTCCTTCTTCAGGACGATTAGCAAGAAAGGGCAATCTAAATACTATGCTCTCATTCCCGATGTGCTCAACATTCTCCCTCCCATCAAGGATTCCCAAGATTCGGACGACTTAAGCAAAGCCCTGGTCGCACTCATCGATCTGGCTGAGACAGCACCAAAGATGTTCAAGCTTCTGTTTCACAACCTCGTCCAGTTCAGCATTTCTGTTGTCCAAGACAAAGAACTGGACACAATTTGCCGCCAAAATGCACTGGAATTAATGGCTACATTTGCTGATTACGCTCCATCGATGTGTCGAAAAGATGCGTCTTACACTACGGATATGATCACTCAATGCTTGAGCTTGATGACTGATCTCGGCGAGGATGATGATGATGCCGCCGAATGGTTGGCATCTGATGATGTGAGTTTTTTCCGGCAATAGTTTGTACTAATAACTTTCTTGCTAATACAAGTATCTAGCTCGAAGCAGACGAGAGCGACCAGAATCATGTAGCTGGAGAACAAACCATGGACCGCCTTGCTAATAAACTAGGAGGGCAGACAATTCTTGCTCCTACATTCAACTGGCTCCCTAGAATGATGACTTCCATGGCATGGAGGGACCGACACGCTGCTCTCATGGCTATCTCTGCCATTTCAGAAGGCTGCCGAGACCTGATGATGGGAGAACTTGGTCAAGTTCTTGATTTAGTGATTCCTGCTCTTCAAGATCCGCACCCTCGTGTGCGATGGGCTGGCTGCAATGCGCTGGGACAAATGAGTACCGATTTTGCCCCCAAAATGCAAACCGATTTCTACGACCGGATCTTGAAGGCAATCATCCCTGTCTTAAACTCACCAGAGGCCCGGGTGAAATCCCATGCCGCAGCTGCTCTAGTCAACTTTTGTGAAGAAGCAGAGAAGTCAACCCTGGAACCTTACTTGGATGAGCTTCTATCACACTTATTCCAACTACTCCAAAGCGAGAAGCGCTTTGTGCAGGAACAAGCTTTATCTACCATCGCAACCATTGCTGATGCGGCCGAAGCGGCGTTCGCAAAGTATTACGATACTCTGATGCCTCTTCTTGTAAATGTGCTCCAGAATCAGAATGAGAAAGAGTACAGGCTTCTGCGGGCCAAAGCCATGGAATGCGCAACTCTTATTGCTCTTGCTGTCGGCAAAGAGAGGCTTGGTCAGGATGCCATGACCCTTGTGAATCTGTTGGCACACATCCAAACAAATATCACAGATGCAGACGACCCCCAGGCCCAGTACTTGATGCACTGCTGGGGCCGCATGTGCCGTGTTCTTGGCATCGACTTCATTCCTTTCCTAGAGAACGTTATGCCGCCGCTTCTCGAACTCGCCATGGCTAAACCGGACATACAACTATTAGATGACGATGAGCAAGCCGAGCAGATGCAAGGAGAGGAAGGCTGGGAGTTTGTGCCACTCAAAGGGAAAATGATCGGCATTCGTACTAGCACTATGGATGACAAAAACATGGCCATTGAACTCTTGGTTGTCTACGCTCAAGTGCTTGAGGGTGCCTTTGCCCCCTTTGTTGCAAACATTATGGAGAAGATCGCGCTGCCTGGCCTTTCCTTCTTCTTTCACGACCCCGTTCGCTATATCTCAGCTAAGCTGGTACCGCAGCTGCTCAGCTCCTACAAGAAGGCTTACGGTAGCCCCTCAAACGAGCTGACCGGCCTTTGGAATGCCACTGTGGACAGACTACTGGAGGTGCTTACTGCCGAGCCAGCCATCGACACACTCGCAGAAATGTACCAGTGCTTTTACGAGTCTGTCCAAGTCCTGGGTAAAGAGTGCCTGACGATAGATCACATGAATCGCTTTATCGACTCCGCTATTTCAGCACTGGAGGACTATAAAGACCGAGTGGCAGAACGAGCTGACGCCAAAGAAGGCGCTACTGCTGACGACGTAGAGGACGAAGCAGAAGAGACTCTCATAGCAATCGAAGATGACCAAACGCTTCTGTCTGATATGAACAAAGCGTTCCATTCCATCTTTAAGAACCATGGTATTGCGTTTTTGCCAGCATGGGAACGTCTCATGCCCACTTATGAAGGGTTTCTCGCATCACCGGATCCAACACAGCGCCAATGGGGTCTTTGCATCATGGACGATGTTTTGGAGTATTGTGGCCCACAAAGCATTCGATACGCGACATACATTCAGCAGCCCCTCATTGACGGCTGCAGAGACGCCTCAGCAGCAATTCGCCAGGCAGCTGCGTACGGTATTGGTGTCGCAGCACATAGGGGCGGCGCCGCGTGGTCTCCATTTCTAGGCGGATCTGTGCCGTTTCTCTTCCAAGTAACGCAAGTTCCTGAAGCTCGGAACGAAGATAACGTGTATGCGACAGAGAATGCTTGCGCTGCCATTGCTAAGATTCTCCACTACAACTCTACCAGTCTTGAGGACGTTCCAAGTACCATTAACCAGTGGATCGACACGTTGCCAGTCACAAACGATGAAGAAGCAGCACCTTATGCATATGCATATTTGGCAGAGCTGATTGATCGGTGAGTAAATTGATGGAAATTCCATGGACCCAAGAAAATTGGACAGAGCAGAACCGGCTAACTCAGATTCATAGCCAATACCCATCTGTAATGAACCAAGCTGGCAAAGTATTCGTTTTCATTGCCCAGGCCCTGGAGGCAGAGACTCTTCAAGGACAAACGGCCAGTCGTGTGGCGGCTGCAACAAAAGCTCTTCTAACGGCTGCAAACGTAGACCCAATGCCATTGCTTCAGCAGTTCTCTCCAGAGTCACAACGAACAATCATGGGTTATTTCAGCTAGTAGTGGTTTGGTCGATAGAGGGCAAAGGTTCATTCCTGATTGCAACTGGCTGATAACCAGTGAAACTGATACAAAAATGGCGCGCTTGACAAGTTTGAAAATGCTCAACAAGAATTTGCCAATACCTTACTGCGGGCTGAGTAAATAATAAAGAAGAGGCAGAATACCTGTTGGCGAGGAGGAATATCAACAAATTATACCGGATAGCGGATTTGTACTCGTGGCAGCTATCTTGAATGTAAGGATAAACGATTTAAATAGGTCACTAGTTAGGAGGGTGAGCGGTTATAATCAAGACAGCCATTTGAATTTGAAATTTACAGAATAGATACCTACTTACCTGAAGACTACTACAAACACTGCGGCCTTCACACTGCGGAAACAGATGGTAGAGCTCACCGACGCTCTAATCAATACAGTACATCTACCTAGATAGGCACTGTATTCGTAGCCTTCTATCTACATTCTTGTACACATGTGAGGTTGAATATGCTCAAGCTGCCTCTGCCATAACAAAGCATCGGGACATAGTGTAAGTTTATGGAATACAATAATTTCCATATTAAATCCTACAATAACACAAGGGTTTAAGGCTTCTAATACATGCCATCAGTGCCGCGTACTGTAATTTAGCGTAAGAATATGGCAATCAGCCTCCGGGATGAAAATTTCAGCCACGTGACCTCCTTCCTTTGACTCTTTTTTTTTTCCATTGGCTACGATAATCAATTCTGACTTATTTTCTTACATACTAGTAGTATTTAGATAATACCACTTAATTATATTTAGGCAATGTCGTCCCCCGATCGTCGCGCTGGCATGAAACGGCCCAGTAATTATCATTCCTTCCAACACTTATCACCTTTGTGGGTGAATGGCTAATCTCGCGGTGGCCTCTGCTACAGGAACTCAGTCGCTCCCACCGCCGTCTCTGCCGCAACTGGTCGCGGAGCAAAAGACACCTATCCCGGTCACCGATAAAGATACCCAGCGATTGATTGTCGTTCTATCAAATGCTAGCCTCGAGACGTACAAGGCCGTTCAAGGTGGTGTCAGCCGTGCGGGTGTCCACCGAGAGGAGAAATACTCGCTTCTCAACAGCGATGAGCATATAGGCGTCATGCGGAAGATGAACCGTGACATCAGCGATGCACGGCCGGACATCGCGCATCAGGTTGCGTACATTTGGGCCTGAAAGATCGGAAACACCGTACTAACTATCGCAGTGTCTACTGACCCTCCTGGACTCACCAATCAACAAGGCCGGCAGACTCCAGATTTACATCCATACAGCCAAAGGCGTGCTGATCGAGGTATCCCCCTCTGTCCGCATTCCCCGGACTTTCAAGCGATTCGCAGGCCTCATGGTGCAGCTTCTACATCGACTCTCCATTCGCTCCACAACTTCAAACGAGAAGCTTCTACGTGTGATTCAGAATCCGATTACAGATCACTTACCACCAAATTGCCGGAAAGTAACTCTTAGTTTTGATGCGCAAGTAGTTCGCGTGCGTGAGTACATGGAGGCTTTGAACCCTAAGGAGAGCATTTGCGTTTTCGTTGGAGCCATGGCGAAAGGAGCCGACACTTTTGCCGACTCAATAGTTGATGAGAAGATTTCCATCAGCAATTTTTCGCTATCAGCAAGTGTAGCATGCAGCAAGTTCTGTCATGCGGCTGAGGATGCGTGGGATATCCTATGAGCTTGACTGAGAGGAGTAGATTAGCTTGCTGATCGAATACAAGCCGGCTTGACGTTGATACAACATCCCGTTTTGCCCAACAGCTCAGAGTCAAAATTGGGATCCTAGCAGTTGGCGCCACGCACTGTTTTTACAACCAAAACATTGTGGCGCTAACAGCAGCTAAGACACTACGGCTATGGCGATTAGTCATGTACGGTTTAGCATGGATGGAATTTTCTGAACCGCGAAGCCATAGAAAGCAATGCAGCCTCCTTTTGGAAATACATGTAGTATTATAATTGTTATTCTGTGCAAGCATTGTTGAAATCAGATTTGCGGTGCACATTGGTTTTTTTTTTTTTTTGCTGTGCCGCTTAGCAGATATTCGCATAATTCCAACCTTGACATATTTGCACTGATCCCTGTGTCATACATACTCGGGCGATTTAAAAAAAATTTCTTCGGTTTCCCAGGTCCACGTCCTGCAACGCTGATAACCTTATCTTTTAATCGTGACCTACCTATACACAATGGGAGTCGGAAACAAACGGACGCTCACGAAAACAAGGCGCAAGACGCGGTATGGCTGTCCTGAATTAGTATCTAAATATTATTGTCCTGATCTTCTGAAACTGATTCTCAACAAGTGATGTGGATCAAATCATATCTGATCTTCGATCCGCGAAGCACCTAACGCAATATAAGAGCACGAAGCTTTCTCAGGATCTTCCTGGGCTTGGCAAAAACTACTGCGTCGCCTGTTCTAGGTGGTTTGATGCCCCTTCAACTTTAACGGCCCACGAGCGAGGAAAGCCGCACAAGCGAAGGTAGATCTCCGCAATCTCTCAATTCCCACGAGTGTCTCGCTACTTTACTGACCGACCTTGCAAGGCTAAAACAATTGCGAGACGAATCCGGACAGTCTAAAAGCACCAGCGTGGATAAGAGTGGCCTGGTTGAGGATACCACAATGGATACTGGTGTTGAGATGGCTCTTTAAACTGTAATCGAAATCTCATTGGGCCGTGGGGCATGGTATATGGGAAAGGACTCTATGAATCAGCGCTGAACTTCACTCGAAATCCTTTCATCTGATGATTCGTCCACGAGGTCTTCCAATAGCACTGGCCCGTCTGGAGCGGCGACTGTTAGTTCTGCCTCTTGTGGAACTACCTCGTGCCGATGGCAAACGGGACTGGCGTGGCGCAGGTATACTGCGCTTGAGACTGGGCGCTGTCGATTCCGGAGGACTTTCAACAAACGATACATCGGTCGCGGTCGTCCTATACAGCTGTTAGCAAGGGAGGGAATGCTTCAGTTTGTCTGCATCCAGAGACGACGGACATATAAGTTGTTTCTCCGTCATGTGCTGGTCGTGGGTCGTTGTTGGCTTGCGCAGGATGCGGGCGGCTTCGGCTGAACGACTGGGGGACGGGAGTCTGGACAAAACAGAGAAGATAGATCAGAACAAGTTACATTGAATTTGATTGGAATTATAGTAGCAGAAGCAGCACCTCGGGAAAGTCAACGCAAAAGGCGTTCATATTAAGGCCGTAAAGGAAGCTGGCAAACGATTCACCAAACCTGGCCAAACTTTCGTCTATAAGCTGGAAGTGCATCATGTTTGCCTCGAGATCGGCCATGGCATCAGAAAGCTCGGCAAAAGCCGGCTCTAGCCTCTTGAGAGGAAATGCGTTCTCTGAATTGTTTGCTGGATGAAGCGACCCGCGCAGCGATGACCGAGAAGAGGGGCGCAGCGGAGTGGTAGGTCGAGATGTCCATGAACGTGAATTCGGTTTGGCACTGCCGGGGTGTGACTCAGAATGCGTGAGTGGCGCCATGCTGAGCAATACTCTCCGCGTGCTCTTTGTAGAGAAGAAGAGTTGATGCTAATAGAAAGCAGTGACTCAACGCGCGCGTAGCTACCAAAGCCCAAGCTACAAGGGTGCACTAGGCCGATCTGCCTTTATCTTATCTTGACCTATGTACATAGCATCTAAACATGCGTACTAGGCCTAAGATTTATTTTATTTTTATCAATCAGCACATTGCCGCCTTCTGCGGCTTCTACTTATATTGCTCCATGCGCTGTGAAATTCTTTGCATTTACCAATAACTGCCTTTCCAATAAAGGTCATAGGTAATTACCATGGGGGCTGAACAGTCCTCAAACTCGGAATCACGCCGTGCCGACACTGGGGAACCTCAGAGGACGTGCTACTATGAGCTTTTGGAAGTTGAAAGGACTGCCACTGATATCGAGTAAGCCAAATCCGAAGACGTAAAGGCTTTTCACACGTTAAATGCAAGTAGAATAAAAAAAGCATATCGCAAGAAGGCCCTAGAACTGCACCCTGATCGCAACTTCAACGATGTGGAAGCAGCCACTAGAAAGTTTGCCGATGTTCAGGCCGCTTATGACATCTTGTCCGACCCTCAAGAAAGAGCTTGGTACGACTCGCACCGCGAGAGCATCTTGAGTGGCCAGCATGACCCCAGTGATGCTTCTTCTGCGCCTGCGACGTTCCATAACGTGCGCCTCACCACCGCAGATGATATTATGCGCCTCATCTCTCGATTCAACTCCACAGTCCCATACACGGATGACAAAGATGGTTTCTACTGGATCGTAAGAGAAACGTTCGAACACTTGGTTCTGGAGGAAGAAGCTGCCGCCGACTATGAGGGCACTGAATGCCCCGAGTATCCTACATTTGGCTTGTCAAGTAGTAGCTTCGATACAGTCGTGAGGCCGTTCTACAACGCCTGGAATGGCTTCAGCACAAGAAAGTCGTTTATGTGGGAAGATAAATACCGCCTCTCAGATGCTCCCGACCGCAGGACCAGACGTTGGATGGAGAAGGAAAACAAAAAGGTTCGAGATGACGCTATTCGAGAATTTACCGATGCCGTTCGATTTCTAGTCTCGTTTGTCCGAAAACGAGACCCTCGCTATACTCCAAATTCGCAGAGCGAGGCAGATCGCCATAAATCCCTTCGGACCGCCGCCGCTGCCCAAGCCGCGCGATCACGAGCTGCCAACAGTCAAAATTATTCATCATTTGAAGTGCCAGAATGGGTCCAGGCCAGCGAAGACAAGGTGGATGAGCAAGATTCTGAATCTGAGGAATCTGAAGCTGAGATTCTGGAATGCGTGGCATGTAACAAAAGATTTAAAAGCGAAAAGCAGTTTGAATCTCATGAACGTAGCAAGAAGCACCTCAAGGCCATTCAAGAGCTACGCCGCCAGATGAAAAAGGAAACAGCAAATCTGGATTTAGATGCTTCGAGCACTGATAACACGCCTGATACGTTCTTGAAGGATGACCGGGACTTGCAAAATGTGGATATAAATGAGCAGGATCACCAGGCTGATATGGACATGGAGACTACATCCTCCTTGACGGAGCAAACAAATATGCATGATGATGAGCAAGAGGCATCTACAAAGACAGCGACATCACCAAGCCGGGATGCATCAGAAGCGGACTACAACGCAAATCACATCGAAGAGGGACTCGACAAGCCCTTTGAAAAGCTAAATCTCCAGTCAACCAGCGAAGAATCAACATCTATTGATCATGGCGAAGAGATATCTGAATATTCTTCTCAACAGCCCCAAAACAATTCTGCTGCGGACGTGAATTTGAAAAGCAAAGTAGGAAAAGCCAGACTCAAGCGCCAGAAAAAGGCTGCTGCTGCTCTGGCAGCCGAAATTGAGGTATCCAATGCACGCAGTCCAACTGATTCGAAAACGTACTAACCATATTGCCACAGCATCGATGCAATATCTGCACGGTTGAATTTGATTCTAAGACGAAACTGTTTAAACATATCCGTGATTTCGGGCACGCTGCCCCCATCACCCTATCTAGCGATGTTGGCAACAGGAAGAAGAGATGAAACTTGTGTCATCTGACATATCGATTTTGTGAACCGGAGTCTTGATATGACGCTGTCTGGGAAAATACTGGAATTAAAACAAAGCCGGGGTAGAGAAAAAAAACAAACACTCTCGGCCCAGATGCAGTTGTCGATATAAAGTCCCGAGATATATATCTATCCTGAATGTGAGTGCTTGGCTACCAAAGACTGCTCACGATCATACATACCATTAAGTTACCGTCATATCGTCATCATCACTCAATAGCTCAACTTCATCCACCGCGCCATCTCTGCCCTCGCCGCTATACAGCACAGGCTCATGATCTGCCACGTGGATTATGGTTTTCCCTTGGACGTTCTCTACACACTGTCTCCATTCCGTCCAGTCACTCTCAGTACGGATAAGAAAGCCTATCAACATGCTCGGATCCATTTCTTTGATGTGAATGCGACGCAGCCTAGAGGTATGGCATGACTCGATGTCTTCTTCGGTATATTTGGTTACATCATCGTGATATGGAATGGCTTTTCGTGTATGATGAGGATCCAGGTAAAATAGGTAACTCCCTTGGCTACCCACGAAGTAATGAGAAGATGCAGGGCGGCCGCTGGAGAAGGGATATTAGCTATAGCATTTTCGGCGCCAAAGTAAAACACAACATACCCAGCAATACCAACAGACTGTGGCATATGGAGAGCAGCAATTAGTGCGTCCCAATATATTGGAGTGATTTTGTCGATGCCGAGGCGCGTCCGTATAAGAATTAATGTCGGATTGAATGTTTGTCCATCGGACTTTGCGATCTTCATAAAACTATCCTCGTAAACATCCTGACCGTCATTAGGTGAGTATATATTTAGAGAAAGTCCTGAGGAGCTTGTAAGAGCTCTGTATCTCAATGTCAGCTGCGTCGTCTGTTGAAAACCCTAGGAATACTCAACGTACTGAATACACTGAGCAGTGGCGGATGGACCAAACCACTCGCCCGGGTATTTCCCACAAGCTGTGGCCCCGTGGCGTACAAAATTATGAATGGAATAAGGGGCTCTTGGGTCGTCGGCGAACATGCTTATAAGATGGCGTTCCTCTTCTTGGGATTGGTCGCGCCGCCAGTCTTGACAGCTTCAAGTTAGACAGACTCTTCAAATTAGAATTAGCTGTGATAAAAACAAAAGCGCACCTCTGCCTAGCCGCAGAATACCGATGGTTGTGGCGAGTAGGCTCTGCCCAGAACGAATCATGCAACCCCAGCCACTATCGGAAGAGAAGCCAGCTGAATCTGAAAGCGTGCTCTTGATCCTCATAGAAAATGAGAGCGCAGATGCGGCTTTTGGGTCAACAGATTTTGGTATAGGCTCAAAGCCGGATCTATAAGTCATCCAGAATTTAGATGACATGTCTTCCACGAATCCAGCGGGCCACCCTGTTCCCGGAGGCGGCTCCTCGTCAGCTACAGCTGATGAGAGGCTGCTCGAGGTGGACGCCGGCGGCGTTTCGAGCGCATTTGCTGGCGATTTGGATACGGCGGGAGAGCTTTGGGCCGGAGGCGAGGCGCCAGCGGTATCTGGTGGGCTAGATTCTGGTGCATCGTGGCTCACGGACGCCGTCTTGCTTGCAGCTCGGGAGCTGGAGTCGTCTAACTTGTAAGAGCGGCCCAGGCACCAAACGGGCTGGTCACTGTTCACATCGTTGGCTGGCTCGGGATCCCAAAACATTTGCATGATCTTCCGGGGGTATCGTCCGAGGTCAGCTATATTCGATTCCATGGCTGTTGATAAAGCAGGATGCCGTTGCGAGGTTGCAAGGTTGTCACTGCATGTGCCGCTGTTGACTACTAGTAAGGACCGTCGAGGTATGTCATAGGGCTGCGCATGTGCAAGGTACGTACCAGAAGCACATGCTCTCTGCCTTGGGTGCTCCACAGAGGCAGGTGCCTGCAGTGCGGGTTGTACATGCGGTCGGTACATTGAGATCGGATGATAAAACAAAAAGCACTCTGATATTTGTTGATATGCTATAGGTAGGTATCCTACAAGTATAATACACTCCGCTAACTGCTAACAATGTCGACATACATGCTAGTACGTACGATTTGTATCCATTTGACGATTTCATATTAATTAATGTTGTACATCGATCGCCCCACGGAGTATTTTTAGCACGCTCTATACTAGGTAGGTACCTACCAACCGGCTAGTGACATAGTGACATCTACCATTCCTTGTCATTTCTCATCCTCCTAACCATAGACCATACAGCATAAACCTTCATGCAGTTATTATCTATGCTTCCATCTTACTTACCTCTCTCTATAACACCTCTCTCTCTTCCTCTATGCGTCCATGGTTGACACTTCAGATACACAATACATAGACCGAACCAAGACTGCTAATCAGTCACGCAATGGCAAAGCTACACCCGATGCCTCGGACAAGCCGATAAAGCTTGGAGACTTCAGCAAGCTGTTTTCCGAGTTCCTACATCCCGCTCAGCACAGAACAGACTCTGCTTCCGACATTTCGGAGAAGAGCAGTTACAATGAAGACGAAAGCTCTCCGCCAGGCCTGATTACCCCTCAGGCCAGCAGGCTACCTTCAACAGCCTTGGAACGTGCCTCTGAGCAATCGCTTCACGATAGTACTAGCCGGACGATCCGTACCCAAGAGGCCTCTGCCCAACGACCGCAACCCAACATTGTCAGATACAATCTCCGACGTGACGTACAGTCCATCTTTGCAAACGGCCACAGCACCAGCGTTCTTTCATCTTCCGAGCTAGCGTCATCATCATCGTCAACATCGTCATCGTCATTTTCTGCAGCTTCGACGGCTGTAGATCATGGCACATCATACCAAGCCTCTCTCTGCGGCAGGGGACATCGGGTTGTCGAACAGTCTTTTCTCCTGGCAAGCTCGCATTCTGAGTGCTCGGAGTGCTTGGTTCAATCCAAAATAGATAAAATCTCGAGTCGCGTGAGCGGAGAGCCATTTCTGATTGAAGAGAAGCATCGGGCGCTCATGATGGGCCTCGTCCCTTACCGCGCCCGAGACGCTGCGATGGCAGAAAAATACCCCGACATCACGTCCCAGGGCATACATGTTTTCGTCGACATGTCCAATATCGATATTGGGTACCAGACTACGTTAAAAGAGAGTCGGTCCATTCACAAAAGCTCCCGTCTCTCACCTATGCCTCACCTAAACCTAGAGCTTCTGACCAAAATCCTGATTCGAGATCGGCCAGTGACAGCCCTTAATGTGTGCTGCTCTACCCTTCCAGGACGTTCAGAGCCTCGATATGTGCAGCAGCTGCGGGAGTTGGGGTACCACATTGATCTAAGAGAACGCAAAAGGGTCAACGACGGGCTTTTCTCAGCAAAGGCGCCCGAGACCCTTCGTTATGTCGAAGATCTTGTGGACGAGACGCTGCAGGTTCGCATTGCCGAATCTGTGATGGAGCATTTTCATAAACCCGGCACAATAGTCTTGGCTACCGGAGATGCGAAGCCGGCTGTACACTCGGATGGGTTCTTCTCATATATGCAGCGTGCACTACGGATGGGTTGGAATGTTGAAGTCATCTCTTGGAAGAGCAGCCTCTCCCTGAGGTGGACTGATAGACAATGGGCATCTCAATGGAATGGCAAGTTTCGTGTTACCGAACTAGATGAATTCTTGGAGATATTAAAGTAGTTCATATACACAAAAGATAGTAGAACATCATGATCGATGACTGTTCATGATTCGCAGTGCGTGAATTCGCATGTGATATATATTTTTATTTATATTTTTATTTCGCCATCTAAATGTGTACGTTGTAATCGTGTGTTTAACAACGTACGTAATAAAACCTAACGACTCGAAACAGGGTTTCGAATGCGTTACGTAGTTATCTCGTGTATTCAAATGAAAGCGGGTTTACCGCAAGAAAAATCTGTAGTATACAAGCATGATGATGTACAAGTGGTATCGTTTATATCCGCCGTTACATAAAATCATCCATCTGTCCCAAAGCCCAAATTGTTCCAAAACCTAAAAGTAAAAGAAAAAGAAAGAAAGAGGGTTCTTTTGAAAGAAAATGTGAAACCATTTCGTAGTCGTGAAAGCTTGCCATCATTTCATAAGATGAAAGTACTCCAAAAGGAAATTGTAGCTATCATTTGCAATAGCTTGAAATAATCGTTTTTTTTTTTTTTTAAAAAAAAAAAGGGGGGGGGGGAGTGCCATCCTTCGCATAAGAGAGAGATTTCTGACTGAATGATAAGCCTTTTTTGTGAACTCATTCAGTGAAAGACCGAGTTGAGTCAATTTAGTTTGCTCAAGTTTGGCTACTTTCTCGCTCTTCTCGTATTGAAGCCATTCCTGAGCTGATAGTGCCAGTAGCTAAAGACGATTGACTTGGAGGTGGCATTGCTGAAGTGGGATGCTGTCCTGCTATTGAGGCTGAGCTGATGGCTGCTGCTGCTGCTGCTGCTGCCGCCGTCTTATGCGCAAGTTGCGCTAGATCAAGGCTGTTTTCGCCGTTGCTGGGGATTGGATTTGGAGTTTCACTCCTGTGTAAAGGCGAAGAAGGGATTGGAGACGCCGACTTCTTACTCTGTGCATCGGTATTTCCACTATGACCCCCTCGCGTAGAGTTGCGCGGAGATACTCTTCCGGTCTAGTTGACAAGTTAATTCATCCCATCATCAAACATTGCATTCTGTGAGCTGCTGGATTCTAACCTGTTTAGCCCAGCGTAGACCGCAGCTATTGCACAGATCTCGCTGTCCACTCGGCCCCCTCCGCCATTCTGGAGTATTTCGAGTATGGCAGTTGGCGCAGTCGCGAACTACATTTCCAACCCCCTTTCTCCTCTTCCGTTTCTTTTTGTTTGACAGCAAGCCGCCAAGCTCCTCTGCCAAGATTCGGTTGATCTTTTCCATTTGCCGAAGCTCAAATTGCCAACTTGAGCATTTTGTCGTCCTGAGTTCATCGAAAATATTGTCGTCAGACGCAAGAGCGGCATCTTGAGATCCAGGGGGGAGCGCTCCACCTGCTGGCTGTGAAATTTGGCCGCTAAGGCTTCCTTGGTTATGCAGAGGGTTGGCGACAAATAGTGAGCTGCCCGCGGTTAGAGATGAAGGAATATGGCGAGATGATGCTTTCAAGAGCTTTGTCTGGGCCAGAAGGAAAGATGGCTTTTGACCCTCCAGCGCATCTCCAGGATATAGAGTGGTTTGAGCTTGGAGCCCCTGGCCCCGCCGATTGAGCATTTCATGTTTGCAGGTAGATATTTTCCCTCTTCTGGCTTTCTCAACCGTGCGTCCAAATTCAGCTCGTGACTCTTTCCGCATCAACTCTTGGATGCTTGTCCCAATCAATGACTCAGGTTGTAGGTCCAGAAGTGACCTAATATTTGTTGAAGTTGAGAGAAACATGCCAGATGTAGACAGCTTGCTCCAGAGCTCGCTGTCACCAATGCCGCCATTTGTCTCCAAGGTACGCCTACTGAGAGCAAAGACAGGCCGTTTCCTGCCAACCAAGATGATACATTTGCGCCCTCTGCCTTGGTCAACAAATAGAGACCCGTGACTCTCGAACCACGTATATCCACTTTGTTTACGCCTTATTCGGAAAACAATGTTGACATGAGTGCCCGCCGTTGCGTCTTTCAGCTCCCGCGTGACGGGAACAATGTCTGAAGGATGACAAACGGAGGATAAAGAATTCCCAACCAGGTCTGCGGCATCGTATTCGAGAATACGTTTGCAGGAAGGTGATAGGTAAAGGAAGAGTCCTTTAAGTGATATAACATGGACCACGTCGTCGGCATTTTCGAGGAGCATCTTATCCCACGATTGTTTATGCCAATCCGAAACGAGCCCGCTCGGATTATACTGCTGAAGGAGGGTAGAAACATCATCCACCCCGAGTGTCTGACCGTTCTCGGATTCCAAAGGATTAGATGGTGGTGGAGTCCATATATACTGCCCAATATCGTTGTGTTTGTAGTTCACCTTGACGCCTCCCATTTCTTGACCAGAGATGGCGTCAGGGCATTCAACAAGATCAATCTGAAAGCCGATGAAGTACCTTATTTCATCAGTGTCCCAGGGTATAGGTATCATCGTCAAGAGGTTCAGAAAAGGCTTTCCTCCCTTGCGGTAGTTTATCAAGCTCTGTTGCACTTCGCGACCCTCCTTTATCATTCTTTTGAGGTTAAACACGGCCCCGTCGTCCACAAACTCTCGCTTCGATCCTGCTTCCACCTTTCCATCGGGTGCTTGAAGGAAGCGGCAGTTTTGTCCAATGATTTCATGGCGGCTGTATCCAGTGAGGTTCTGGAAATTATCAGATACGTAAATAATGGGACAATCATTCATCGTGACATCACAGACGACAAAGGCACAGGACATATCGACAGCGCCCAGGTGGATTTTAGGGGCCTTCCGAGTGGCAACTAGCCATAGCGCTTTCAGCATATCGAAACCACTTTTGGAGTAAATGGTCCTTTCTTTTGATTGGTCTCTGACAGGGGTTGCACCGCCGGAGGGACTTGGCTGAGCCATGTCCACTGGTGAAGCATTCTGTTGGGTGGCAATAACTGGTAGAGGGCCATGTAGGGAAGAGGACATGTTTGGCGCAAATCCCCTCATGCCAGATTCAACGTTTATGTGAGAATGACCAGCATTCATCGGCGCGAACTGTTGTAGGGAAGCGTTCATCATATCTTCGTCGCGCACCACACCCATGCCGTCTGGGCCGCTACTTGGGCGAATTCCAAGCGATGCGCTGTTGGAATCTCCAGCCATGGTGGCAAAGCCATCATCGCCCGGCGCAAACTGCCCTGCGTTGAGCTGGCCAGTAATAGGTGAGGCAGTTAGACCAGGAACTTGGCCGCCAGTGCCAGAGAAAAGATCAATAGTTTGAGGTTCGGCTGTCATCCCTCCCATGTCCATACTCGCAAATTGGGTTGGCATCATGGTACCCATGATATCCTGAGATATAGAAGCGAAGCTGCCGGTGTCCGTCATATAACTGCCCATCTGATCTTGCATGCCGACGCTGGCGCCGACGTCGGGGAAGTTGGAAGGTATTTCCGGGTCGTACTGATAGCTGTTGAAATCCGGTGCTCGGGAGTCGAATCCCATCATGTCTCCGGGGCTGATGGTTGACATGCGGCGAGGAGGAAGATCCTGTAGCGCCGAAATCATGGGATTTCCGTGGGCATTGGGCGGCATGCTTCTTCGTCTCTGGATGTCGTGGTGGCGCATAGCATCGCCCATGTGGTTGCCGGCCATAGCATTCTGGCTGGCGATCATGTGGTTGCCCAACGCGGATTGCAGCTGCTGAGGCTGGATGGCAGCGTCTGGAATCGACATGCCTAGAACGCTGGGCTGGGCATGTGTTTGCTGCTGATCCTCCTCCGAAGATAGCTGGTTTGTCTGGTAGAAGCCCTCCATTGTGCCAGCATCTATCTAAGCACCCGAGGCCTGGCGACCTCTGGTAGTCGGAGAGGGAGAGGGCGAAGAGGGCGAAGAGGGCGCCGTGAGATAGCGTCGGTAATCAAGGCGAGCGCCGGCTCTAATCTTGACGCTGCTTCCGTTTCGCAGGGACGGCAAGAAAGAGCTGTTTGATACGGTCGTGAGCAGACGTTGTTGCGCGGGGTATGTATGGAGCGTGAATGAGCTGAGCCTTGTGCTGCGGTAGTGGTCCTCGAGATGGAGCTCGCTCAAAATGTTGCGGACTAAACAGATGCGAACGAGAGGCCGCACGGCTGGAACTCGGGTGGTGGCGATCCCTTGAGAAGATGTCGATCAAGTAAACGTGTGGCTGCTAGTGTGTTTCTTATGCGAGGGTCCAGAAGTGCATCCCTCGGACAGGTGCGCTGCAACAAGAGCGCAAAAACGCAGAGCCACGACGAGTGCCACTTCTCAGGAATGAGAGCTTTGCTTAGGTCCACGCACCAGTGTCCATGTATCTCATAGCTTGGGAATGGGATTTTGCAGTGGGAATTGTTTAGGTCACCGGAGAAAACCACTAGAAGGATGTGGTGCTATTACGGCATATCTCTTGGATCGGTAGGTACCTAGGTAGGCAACATGTCTGCTATGTTTCGACATATTATGTAATCGCACCCCATCAAATGCCACCAATGCCTGGTAGTCTAGTTGTCTAGGTACTCTAAAGGCAGGGAGAAGCGCATCCCAGCAGCCAGCAATATTAACATCTCAAAGTATAGGTAGTTTTACTGGAAGCTACATACATAGGTACACATCACAAATCCTCAAAGGAACCTGAGCCATAGCCGGGAGACTTATAAACGACCGATGGCAGTGATTTCGGATCACAGGGTAGCAGCTTGTACGGATGAAGTACATCACAATTGAAGGAAGGGGGAAAAGAACGGCCCTATATTGCTGGCTAAGGCATACCTACCTCGTGGCGTGATAAGAGAAGTGGCACCCATCCCGATGGGTTATATTGCTACTATATATTATGCGCTGGATTCGCGATTGGGACTACTGCTACTAGCATTGGGCATGGATCCCCTGCAACATGTGCCTAAATGCGCAGGTAGATGCTTGGGCAGCTGAAGTCCTTCATGCTCTCTGCCGCGCCACCTCGCTCTCGCAGTAGCCGCCCCCTTGTAGCTGCACAGGACGATTTCAGCCTTGACAAAGGCACGGTCTTGAAGGCCTACTGCAAACCATTACGGAGTTTATGAATGTAGAAACACCTAGATGCCTCAATAGTAGTAAATGAACATATGATTAATATACCAAGTTAACTGCCTTTCGTCCT